GTTAATGATGCTAAAGCTGCTCACCGTCAAATGGATAAAGCAAAACGTCATAATCAGAAAATGGAAGCGATAGCATTGGGTATCGGTCTACGCTTTAAACGCCGAAAACGAGGATATGGCTTATACTTGAAACCGGCAAAAAAAACGCATAGAGCTACTACATCGAGCATTGAGTAACATCGATATTTTAAAGTATACAAAAATCATAAAAATTCCCTATTTTCGGGGAAATGATTTAACGGAATCGAAACCCAGGAAAAATGAATCAGCTATAATTAATCTTGATGATGAAGATGGATCTGGAACTCAGTGGATGGCATATGAGAAACGAGGGAATAAAATCTTGGGCTTTGACAGTTCTGGCAATTTTAAACCGCCGTCAGAACTTGAAAAATATTTCGATGTTGGTAGCATACTTTGCAATCATACAAAGCATCAAGATTATTCAACGACAAAATATGGACATTTATGTTTGGAATTTCTTCAAGGAAAAGTATAAAAGAATAGTAAAATAATTCACAATAACATTGTCTGTACGTCCTTCATATTGGAGGCTTATAATTTTTCACGGATTGAATTAACAAAGTCCAAAAATTACGTATTGGGACTTGTTGAATTATTAACATTCTATTCTATCCCAAATATTGACCGAGAAAATGATAAATTTTATTATACAATAAATAATAAGGAGAAAATTATCAAAATACCGACGGGGAGCTACGAAATTGAAGACATTGAAAATTATTTGAAAAATGCTGATCCTGAATCATCAGTTACTATTAAGCCAAACAACAATGAGTTACACAGTGAAATTTATAGTGGAAACGCACTCATAAATTTTGAACCTGACGATTCGCTTGGTCGTTTGTTGGGGTTCAGTTCACGATTTGTTTCTCCAAATTTAAATCAAACATCTGATTCTCCGGTGTCCATTTTAAAAATAAATGCACTGAAAATCGAGTGTAACATTACAACAGGAGCCTCCATGAATAATGGATTAGTGCATACAATTCATGAATTGTTTCCCTCAGTTCATCCTGGATATAAAATTATTAAAGAGCCATCCAACGTCATTCATCTGCCAATCGCCGTGCAAGCAATACATCACATACAATGAGGAATTGTTAATCAAGATGGAGAATCAGTTAATTTTCGAGAAGAAACAATAACAATACGAGTACATGTAGAATCCTTTAAAAAATCGAAATTATTTATAAGGCAATCGTTGGACGAAGCTATAATACTGAGTTACTATATCAAACTATCGTCAGTCAACGACAAACATCCAAATAACTAAGTCATCAGAACTATTTATTTCTGAAAAGCTTAGACCTGAAACTTGATGAGTCTATTTCGCATTATAAAGTGCACGCTTATCAGCCATACGCTTCTGCAACATTCAACAACAATAACGAAATACGCATCTCAGTCCAACATCAAGATTTGTGTTCACTTTCGAGTAAAAGTTCTCTACATATAACTGGAAAATTTATCAAGCTCGATGGCCAGGCTGTCGCAGATACATCGAAATTCGGAAATATTGCTATAAGCTATTTATATGACGAAATTCGATATGAACTTAATGGCATTGTAATTGATCGCAACAAAAATGTCGGCCTCACAAAGTCTCATAAAAGGCAACTTATCTTTCCATCATGGACAGAAAAATTACTTGTATAATGCCAGCTGGTTAGATGATGGGCAACAATTATATGACAATGGGAGAAATTTTGACACTTTTATTCCATTGAAGATGTTATTGGGATTTCCTTACATTACGGTCTCAGATATGAAAAAAGTAAATCTATTAAATTACATTGCAAAAGATCTGGCAATAACACTGAGTTTTAGATATTGAGAATTGTATAAATATCTATTGCTTCCAAGGACAACGAAACATGTGTGGGTTGTAAAGATATCAACACAACTCGAAAAACTCAGATATGTAATACTTGCATTCCAAACTGCACGTAAAAATGATGCTAAAAAATATGCAAGTAAATTTGATTACTGCAATTTAAGAGATGTTAAATTGTTTCTTAATTCACAGTCATATCCATACGGCAACATGAATCTCGACATAACTCACAATCAGTATGCACTGTTATACGACATGTATAAAGATTTCCAAGTATCATACATACACCTTTAATCGTAATTGATTGCTCAAAGGAAAATGAATCTTTGAAATCTGGACCTGTTGATGTTCGACTGGAATTTAAATCACCAAAGCAATTTCGTGCTGATACATCAGCTTATTGTTTAATTGTTCATGATCGTATCATAGAATATAATCCATTAAGTGGACAAGTACGGAAATTGATGTAATGAAAACCGTTTAGAGCTTCCTGACCTTGAGGAAAAGCTGCTTGAGAAAATAATTCACATTGAATGACTTAATCCTAGATTAATCAATGTAATCAAAAAGAAATAAATGTTTTGACAATGATGTATAATGTTCTTCACATCATAAATAATTGATGAATCTTTGATCTTGTTGTAGTTGTGTTGGTAATTTCTGTCAAATTTCGCAAATTTCAGAATTTGCAAATTATAATATAAAATTATCGTCGAAATGGGAAATGTCACTTGATAACATTTTCATTAAACTCCGCAGTTGATAAAACAGCTGTAATGATTTTTCTTCTGATGGATTCCAATGAAATTTAAACCACTCTTTGATGTGCCGTACATTTTTATAGGTACATCCAAATTTTTTCTCATTCAATTCATTATTTTCCAGATAATTAATGTATCGCATTTTACCTACATCAGTAATAGGTATATTGACAAAATGACTTAACCACTCTACCTTTTTAACCCCTAACACATAAATGTAAGTTGCACCTTGTAAAAGTCCAGTAAGGAGGATTTCAAGGTTTTCATACTCAGTATTGCTAAAATCCCAAGGTATAGAATGCCTATGCCCCCGAAAATACTCAAAAACATAATTATTCTATCATAACTGTTCAGAGAGGGTTTGAATGTAGGTAAAAAATCAAATGTTCGATCACTTAACAAAAGTAGCGCTATTTCTTTTGCTATTTAAAGCTTATCGTACGTATAAAATCCTACAAAATCTACAAAAACTTCCATTTTGCGCACCGTAATTTGATCTTCTAAAGATGTGCTACGTAAACTTATACATGATATTCCTCTCCATTTGCGTAAACAAGTTTAAACTTGCATGAACAAGTCTTTACTTGCTTTTGTTGCCATTAAATTGCGCAGATACATAATTTTTATAACGTAAGTGCGTAATATCGGAAAAGCGAAAAATTATCTGCGCTCTCGGTCGGTAGAGAACTACAAAAAACGATACAATCTACAAAAAAATCATACAATTACCGACCGCCAGTAACTCGATCCGTAGAGAATACCAACCGCCAGTTTGCAGGTTCTCATTCAGTAAAACAGAACAGCTAACAGTCGGTAATGTAGCACGAACACGAACCAACTTAGCACAAACACAAACCTCGATCTGTTTCATCGGGCGGGTGAACACTCCTTGTATATCTACTTTCAGATTTCGAGAAATTCGAGTAAGTTATAAGAAAGGGTATACTCGTGTATGAGTATATTGATTCAATGGAAAAATCAGATGATGACTATTTACCAGTAAAATAGCAATTTACTTCCAAACTCAATAATAGAAATTTTTCTAACAGAGACTATTATCATGTTTTGAAAGTTTGGAATAAATTTGCAATTGAACACTGGATAAATACTCTAATCTCTACCTCAAAACAGACGTACTTCTACTTGCCGATATTTCCGAAAACTGACGACGTTGCTGCCGAAAACATACGATTTAAATCCTCTCCATTGCTAAACGGCTTTGAAACTTGCTTTTGACGCAATTGTGAAACTTACAAATGTTAAACTAGAGCTATTAGGAGACTTATGAATGGTCTTATTCATTCAAAAAGGTATTCGAGGCAGCGTATCGCAATGTTCAAATCGTTATGCTGCAGCTCAAAATTCATACATAGGGGATGATGAGATCAAAGCAAAACAGAACCAGATCTCATAATTTTTAATGTAAATAATTTATGTAGTGCTGCGATGTGCATGCCTTTATTGGAGAGTTTCAAACCATCTATAGTGGCAACAGCTCTTTATCGAAAGACTAGACATGTGATCCGCTATCGAAACCTTAAAAAGTGTTTGGAATAAGGTTTAAAGTGTACAAAAATTTATCAAGTATTAGAATTTAAACCATCTCAAAGGCTTAAATTGTATATAGATAAAAATGCAAAAGATTATTGTGAAAAAGCTTTTCATATGCACATGAACAACGCTGTATTTAGTAAGCCTATGGAAAACGTAACAAAGTAGAAAGATGTCAAATTAGCCTCTAAACAGGATGGCCGATATGGTGCTAGAGCTCTTATTTCCAAATCGAATTTCTATACCGTTACTATTTTCGATGAAGATATGGTTATAATAGGAATAAGATAGCTTAAAGTTCATTTCAATTAGCGGATTGAGATAGATTTTACAATTCGAGATTTATCAAGACTATTTCTATCCGATTTTCATTATAAGTATGTTAAGAAAAAATTTTTAAATGATACTTTCAAACTTCTGTGAACCAACACGGATAGTCTTTGTATTATTTCACAGTACCCGATGTCTATAAAATTATCAAACATGATATTTGCAAATTTGACTATTCACGTAACAAAATCTACAGAATTCTTTTCGTATAATCATCACATGATGATAATAATGATGATGATTCATATAATTCATCAATTTAGTTGTTCGGAATAACCTCTCATTCTTAATGTTACAATAAGCCATTGTAAGGTCATTTAAAACATAAGTGACGCTTATCATTCGGCAAGGGAATCGTTTGGATGATTTATTTCTCCTTTTATTTCAGTTAAAAGACTAACTGATGCACTTCAAATTATAATAAATCATAATATTTTTTCCGTTTCTATAACGCTTTGGAGCAAAGGTGAATAAAAATAAATTTATCTTTATGATTTCAGATGATAATGAAAATTACCTCATTGTTACACTGAAAGATGGTGGCATCGCAGTTAGCATGGTTTTGATGAATGGACGATTGGATTTGCAAATAAAACCTGCAAAAATAAGGTTTGATGATAATCAATGGCATAAAATATCGATTCAAAGGCGTGTTCAAGAGGTATGTAATTGTAAAAGTTAAGATAACTAATTTTGGTTAACTTGAGATGATAGAGGTTGCTGGAAAATAATAACTAGCTTTAATAACAAGTCAGGTCTTTATTTGTAACAAACACTTTACACTCAACTAAATAGATCACAATTACCATGTAGATGCGACCAATTTATCTTCGAAATGTCTTGAGTGCGATCTGTGCCGTGAGAATGTATGAGTGATATCGTTGAGTGTGTGTGCGCTGTTTGACACACACAATACTCTTGTACGGATACTAAGTGCTCAGGGCACAACGATGTTCCTTTTAAGTGTATTAAAAGGCGTAACACTCTCACAATGCAACGAAAAAGAATCAAATTGATGGTAAGTGCAAATATTATTGATTCGCACTCAATCTGGTGTCTACTAACACCGACTTGAATGCCTTCTGCACGTGAGTGTTACATTCATTAAATAAAGAGTGACTTGAATCGTCTTGTAGAGAGTTTATAATCGCACACACTGAGAATGCTCGTTCACGATTGTGTCTTGAGTGTTAATGTACGATTTTGTCTATGGAAAAGAGTTAAGAATGCACTATTTAACCAAATAAAACTGGGAGTGTTGAAAGACGCGACCGATTACATGAACGTGATTGGTGGGAATAGCGTCTGAGTTTGTGTTTCATGACGTTCAGGTAGCGTTGTTTGGCAGTCCGAGAGATGTTACACTCTGAACGGACGGCGGAAGTATTAATACTTTTTAGTGTTCTTAACAGTAATTGATTTTTATGCCATGAAAAATATTCAAGCCTTCAGTCGGTATGATACACAATAATTTATTTGAATCGTTATGGATTTATGGTGATGAATTTAAGTTCTCCCAACGTGTTATTTTTTATTTCACTGAAAAAGTTATCAACCGTATGACATGAATGGAAATCCAATTTTTTTCTTAATAATAATTAAATCTAGTGTAAATATTAGGGAACAGGTTTAAGTAAGGTATCGGAGTATTTTACAGGCATTTTCTTATATCACTAATGTGAAGGTGCGAATTATGCATCATGATTAACAACGATTTTTTTTCTATAACAATTAAATTGTTATAAAGGGACAGAAATTATTCAAAAAGTTGTTATAATACAAATATATCTTTTGATAGAAAATCCCGAGCTATGTATTTGTAGTTGTATTGAAAAATTAACATTTGAGTATTTTTGACAACTGTATATTTGCTTCTAAATAATTTTTTAAATTTACTTGAATTGAATAAAGATTATAGATAAGCCTTAAAAAGTGGTCATCATAATTTAAAGTTAATAATATTTTAATGATTTCGAAGCAAGATCGTTCATGGAATAGTAAATCTATCTCTTATTTAAATAAAACAAAATTTTTGTTTTGCCTGTATTCTGCTATAAATTCTCATAATATTACTAAATTTATTTATAAGAAATTTATTACCGACAGTTGTAAGAATCACACCCTTTCGAGGAACTACATTTTGGAGGATGAATTTTAGTAGGAATACATAATTCATAAAAACATAAGGTCCAATGAAGTAAGTTATTCTTCATTTTTAATGATCAGGATTCTGTAAAATGTCCCCCCGTCAGCATTATTAGGACCATAGTGTTGGCCGCTGGTTCGCTGGGAGAGAAAATCGATTTTCTCTGATTGGTCCAGTGAGATAACTGAAGCGCCGGTGGACAAGTCCGGCATTGGACAGATTTGAATGGGACGTATACATAAGTCCAGAAGTCTATAGTTTCGAAAAGGGCAAAGCCGCGATAATTTATTGTCCCGAATAAGTTATCACTCCGAAAAGTTAACATCCCTAACCAGTATTGCCATTGTAATGTCTAAATCTTTCTCAATTATTTTGCATAATTATTTAAAATATACTTTAGGAAAAGCTAAAAACGAATAGCAATAGAACTTAAGGATTGAGGTTGACGATTATTACTTAAGTTGTTTTTTTTTGAGTTTTCCTATGATTTCGTTAAAATAGAAAGGATTTTGAATAATAGTTAAGGAAATCATATCTTAGATATTTTATTGCTTTTGAAAAACCAGGTGGCGCAAAGGAATGAAACTATAAAAAACGCTTTAGCGTCAGCTTCTCAAAGAAGGAAAGGACCATGCGAAGATACTTGTGCGTGCCCGAAGTAAGGGACTTCTAATTATGTCACATTCGACTAAATAAATACGTAAAGTTTGATGCATCAGTCAATTTTCGAAAAAGTAAAATCGAGATCAGATCGTCGTGGAATATCTTCTGAAATCGTCAGTCTTATTTGTCTTAAACAATGTATTAATAATATTTCGAAGTTTGTGAATTTTCGTGTGAAGTTTATTTGATCGTTGAATTATTTTTCAATTTTTATTTGAATTATTTCGCGAGTAAAAGTGAATATTGCGCTGACTGGAGCATCAACTAAGAACTAATTAATTGTAATTCATCTCGACCAGAGTTAAAGGAATCATCTGTTAGTAACATTTAAATTGTTATTATAAGTTTTCAATAATTTTCATTCAATAAATTTTGTTATTGTTTTTATATTAATCATACATTTTCACTTTTTATATCGAAAATCCCCTCATCCCTGTCTATTGGTCAAAAGGCTATGACTAAAAAGAGAAATTTAACGTCTCTGAGGTTAAGCATATGGTTTATATATTGACACCTTTAAAGAGCGAAAAAAAAAACACCATAAACAATAGAGTATCTCGGATAAATCAGAAATTAGACACGATCAAACGTCGAATGCTTATGTACTAAATCATATATTTCTACGTATTATGGATTGCTACGAATGTCCGATCTCTTGAAAAAAAATTCTCCTGCGTTTTTGATTATTACAACTATTGGTAATGTAGTATTCAAAAGTAAAATTGGTATTACCATACAGATATAGAGCCAGATACAGGCAAAAAACAGTTTTTTTGTTTAAATTGAAAATCAATTTTATCGTCTAAATCATGATACTCCAAAATAAATATTAGTTATTGCTGTAATTATATTAAAGTTAAAATTAATGTATTTACAAACTCGGTTATTTCTTTAAATCATTATCAATTATAATTTAAATTGTAAAAATAAATGAGAAAAGAAAATAAAAACAAACAATAACAATTAAAAACTTGTTTTCTACAGAGTAAATAATAATAACATAAAACGCCAAATTCCTGGATATATAGCCGGATGAGTCTCCAACCGCGTACACAAAGCACACACTTATTTTATATGGATGACTTGTAAGTGTACGCGACGAGTTCGAGAGACTCCGAGTAGCCCTAGAGGTTGTGTCCGAATATCGACATAGAGTTCGGAATAGACGAGTGCAGAGTAGCCCATTTAGTGAAAGGAAGATCGCTGAACTGGAGTGATAATGTCGAGCTTACAGACGGGAGCATCATAAAACATCTGGATGCTGGAGAGTCATACCGATATCTAGGACAGGCACAAACTCTTCTACAGGACGTGTCTGTCATCAAAGATACTTTCCGCAGTGAGTACAAGTGGCGACTTAAGAGAATATGGGACTCTGAATTATCAGGCCCTAATAAAGTCGCAGCCACAAATATGCCTGTTGTCTTAGTCTTGCTATACTCATTCGGAGTTCTCAAATGGCTTCGAAAAGAGCTTAAAGACCTGGACCCTATCAGGAGAAAAGTGATGACATTATATCGAAGTCATCACCCGCGATCTTCTGTCCAACGCCTACACTTTTCCCGTGATCTGGGAGGGCGTGGACTACTAAGTTTGGAGTGTCTACATGACAGGTTAGTGATAGGCCTGGCTTATGACGTCTATGAGAGCTCTGATTCTCTTCTCAAGTTCGTGAACAGCTTCGAACTATTGGGAAGGGATGCGTTTCTATATAGAGCAGCATATCAGGCAGCGCAGAACCTCGGCTCAGTTTTCGACCCTAGCAGCCCAGACGGTCTAAGGCTTTTGCAATTGACCAGAGGGCAGCGGAAGGCCGATATAAAAACAACCGAGCAGTTGCAACTGCTTGACGAACATGTGGCAGAGTCCTTACATGGTGTGTTTTACCGTCATCTCGAAACACATGACTTGTCGCACTAGCTGACTTTTCAATATCTTAAGTCAGCTGGCTTGTTCTCTGAGACCGAAGGGTTCATTATGGCCTGCCAAGGTGGTGTATTTTCTACCCTCGCCTATCGGCGTGATGTGATGCACGAGCAACTCGAGGACACAAGGTGCCGAGTTTGCCACAGTGATGTAGATGAGACACTACTTCATGGGTTACCGGCTTGTCCGATATCAGCGCGCTCAGCCTACATTCACTGGCATAACGCCGCCCTAAAAGCGCTGTATTACTATGGCACTCTTATGGGATAGACGAGACACCATTGCTGCCTTATGTGCCCGGTAAAATTGAGTCAGTCGTTGAGAATGGGAGAGTAAAAATTCTTTGGAATTACTCGCTCTCTACGCCTCAACGCATTGAACACAATGAGCCGGATATTACTCTCTTCGACCATCCCACCAAGCATGTATATTTCATTGAGTTCTCAGCCCCGGCTGAGACGAATATACCTGCGAATGAAGAGAGTAAACAGGAACGCTACGGAGAGCTCATGGAGATTATGAGAAATGTCTATCACGAATACACAGCGCACGTTATAGTCCTGGTGATTGGTGCCCTCGGAGGGATGAGGAACCGCTTTCTGACAAAGCTTCAAACGATACCAGTCTGCCATAGTCAGGCTGAGATTCTCGCGGCTCGTATGCAGAAAGCGATCATCCTTGGTTCTCTCCGAATCCTGAGACGATTGTAAAAGTTTCGACTAAACGGCTGCAGCCCCGGCTCACCCTCAAACCTGAGGGAGTTGGGTGTCTGCAGGATAATCCCGTCTGATCAGGCCCCAGGTGGATCAGAGTCCTGGGATCCCTGGACAGAGCTTCGACCAATATCAGTCTGGTTTATAACGTTATTCAGTCGATTATTGTTAACTATAATTGTTATTAGTTAGAATTAATAAATTTTGCTTTTATTGATTTTAAAAATTCGAAAGAGAATTCACTTTGTATAATCCCGCAAAGAATCCTGGTCCATAAAATTTAGATAATTTTTACAATTGAGGCGGGAATTTTCTTGAGGATTCGCCTTGAGGAAATTTAGTCGTTACAATATATTTGTAATTCACTATCAGCTTGGATTTTTTAGTCAGTAATATTGGTTTTTTAGAATTTATAATAATTAATATCAGAGAGCGTTGAGTGACAAAAATCATTTTATTCGTAAAAATAGGAAATAAAAAAACTCAGGAAACGATACTGCCACCTGGAATTTTTTTTTGTGGTTTTGCAAACAAATTAATTTAAAAATTATATTTTAACTTTATTGACAATGATTGTTAATAGTTGAAATGTATTTGGTTAGATTAATGATCCTATCTCTATATTTCGACAAGTTAGCGCAAGTAAAATAACGAAAATTTCAAAATTAAAAGAATGACACTACCAGCTGTTTTTTACATGGGATTGGCCTCTGACCAACTATTGCTTGTCTTTGTAAATCTAACGCAATTATATTGAAGAGTGATTGGCACAACGTTTAATTAAGTCTAACATAAAAAAAAATTTAATTATCTAATAACGGTGTTTTTTATGGAATTTTTCAATACACACCGGAAATGCCGTATAAATTCTGTATCATTTATAATAATAGAATTATTTACAATAGTATCAATAGTAATAAAACCAATGCTGGACATTTTATTCCAATTCACCTTTAGTGTCGAATCAAGTACATTTCACAAAATATACATACGATCAGAATAAGGAAAAATAATGACGAAATTAAAGTGAATTCTCTTTAAAGAAATAAAAAAATGGAGATTGGTGTAATTAGATCATTACGAACTCCATTATTGAATGTGAATCGGTTAAATATATTTCAAAAATATTCACTTATCTAACAAGAATAACATTCCAATAACAATTATTATGACACGCACATCATAAATTGCACCTCAGGAAAACGTTCATTAATTTGGATTTATAAATTAAAGTTCTGATTAAGATATGGTTTCAAAATCACTAGTTTACCACAATTCTCAGCGAAAGCTACCGAAGAACTATCGATTTGGTTTCGGCTTGTTAGGAAAATGCCAAAAAAAAAAAGAAACAAGAATTCTCATTAGTCCGAAAGTTGTAAGAAGTGAAAACAATGAGAGTGACCAATGAGCTTCTCATCTTTTACTTGTAAAATAGTCTAGTAGCCGTAAATTTAAGCCCTATGCTATCGTGCAAATTTGCACAAATACTCTTCTCATCATACCCGACAAGAATATGTAACCAAAAATTTTTTATTATCATTTATAATTAATGCACGATAAATTCAAACGGCTACTAGACTAAAAGCAATCAAACTTGTAATCATAAAATGTAGAAGAAATCTATGATTATTTTTTTGAATTACAATACTGTAAAATATTTCAAAACACTTTTTAAAACTATCTATATACAACAATTTAGTAATTGAAAAAACCAATTATTACTGTCATACTATTCCAAGAAAGAATTGTCAGGCGCCAATACTCTTAGGTGTTAAATCGACTCTATCCTGACTGCCTGTCATAAATGATGAAATAATTGAATAAATAAGTTACTCAACTACTGAGCCGATAGCATCAAAAATTCAACTGCAAGATTGTAGTAGATCATAGTTGTAATTTTTTTAATTGAAATTTCGCTTAATTTAGAATAAATCATTGTTATGGTACCAATACTTATGAGTTTTAAGTCTACTCCGTTACAAATGCCAGTTATTAATAGCAACGTTGCCTACTTTGGCCAAGTTAATAGTAAAAATTAATTGTTCTATAGCTTTTATCTATAAAAACTCAGATTATTGACCATCATTTTCTTTTTTTAAAGTAAATTTATTTAGTAATCATTAACATGAATATTCTTAAGCTATACTAGAATGCATTTTGTTTGTCAGTAATATTTTTTCTATGTAAAAATAATGTGTATGTCACTATGTTCATTCTTTGAACACATTGAAATTGGATTTTTTTAATGATATTTACAGAAATCAAATAGACAATAAGAAATGTTTTATTATTTTGAATTAGTAGTTGGGAATTATACGGAGATTTAATTAATTGAATTACTTGAAAATGATTATTCTATTGTAACACTCCTTGTAATTGTTTGTTTAATACTTTATGTGTTATCTTAGAAATACGAATTATTTACCTAATTTTGGGAAATCGTTGTTATTATTTTTACCTTCCGTCTTGCTCTTGAATAAAGTAGAAAAGCACGAAATAAAGTCTATTTCATCTTTGAGTGGTGACACCAAAGAAAGAATCCAATTCACTAACCTGAATAACATCGATTTGTATTGGATGCTAAAAAATGTCTTTTGTATACAAAATTGAAACATATTTTAGATAAATTATTATTTCAATCATTTCGTGAATTAATTGATTTTTCATTCATCTCTTAGATGAATTTTAATATTCGTGTCACTTCATTTGATCTAATTCTTCTGATTATGGAGACAAGAATATTGTAAAAAACTGATATTACCGATAAAAAATCCACTCTGACGGTAAATTAGTCGCTACAGTCTCCTGTAGTTAATTTTCGAATACAACCTGTGTCATCTTGATTTTTGTGTACTAAAATGTATTAAAGCATTAAAATATTTCGAAACAGTTAAAAACAAAATTAATATCAAGATTGAAGGCTCTCAAAAGTTTCATTTTTAAGTAATAAATAGGACATAAATGTGGCTAGTAATCATGCGTAAGTGAGTTATTAGACTAACTTCCCTCCATCGTCGTTATCACTGGCAAAACAAATTTTCCATCATTCTTTATTCTGTAAGTCTTAATTCAAAATACGGTGGTGGAAAAATTATTTGATTACGGTTTGTTGTAAAATTTTTTTCTTACATGTCATTAAGTTTTATATATTTCTTTCCTTCATTTTTTGACAATTAGTTACTGATAAATTACATTATGGTTAAGAAAATAAAAGTCTCTAGAATTTCCTTTACCAAAAAATGTATTTTTGTGTTTTTTTTTAATAATTCTTCGCAGAGTTATACTGTTTTAGAGTTTTTAAAAAATAAAGAATGCTTCTGAAAACCTGCAGTCTTACAAAAGGAGCGGAGCTTGGTTAAACATGTCCATGCGTCCTTTCCCCTCATTAGAAAAAACAGGCTCTCCACTACTCCGAAAGTCTGCAAGCTAATCCGTTTAAGTCCCACGAGTTTCGAGCAAATAAACGTCTACCTGTGCAGAGCCTCTTGCACAGGCAATGCTAACTACAATGAAGGGTCACCTGGCGCCCTAAAAGCTTTGTTTGTGACACAGTGTCCAAATGCCATTCAGTCTTCAGCAAGATGGTTCACATCGTGACTTAGGGAGCTGATCCATGATGTCTCTTAAAGTGCGTACACACCTAAGCTACACTTGCCAGCGGCTTCCCTGGTGTTTGCACTCGATTCGAGTTAAAGCCTTTAGAGCTTCTACTCGGTATTACCTGGACAATGTTCCTATATACCACTCAGATTCACCAGGCTCCTGGTCGATGCTCAACCAATTTTTCAGTCTTCCGTTTATTAAGATCATGGAACTTCGAGAAAAAAGGGTTTACAATAGCATCAAAAGTCGAACAAAATTTTTTTCAACGATTCTAATAGGAAAATGTTAAAAAACGACTCTAACATTTAACGTTTCTCTTACATTTTTTAGATAATAATACATGTATCTCTAATTGATTAAGTAGAAATGCATTCAACGGCACATTTAACCGGATCACCAAAAATAGTCAGTTTTTTTGCGCGCATTTAGAGCGCTGCACTTTTCTTCCTGTAATGGATAAATATGCGCTCTTGCAAACTTTTTTTTTTTGCAGAAAATTCGATTTTCTACAAAAAAGGTATCTACATTATTCTCAATAAAACGCACGATTTTCGCTGCGTAATCGGTGCAAAGTTAGAAAATACACTTTGCCAACTTTTAATTGTTGATAAACAATAGTAAAAATCATTCCCAAACAATGACATCAGGCACAAATGTTCTTCTCATTGATCTCTACAAGAAGCCGTGATTAAAAAAATTTTTTATCCTTCTTAAAATTGAAGCATAAGTTATTCACACTGCTCTTAGACTATTTACTGAGTACATTATCCCTTATTTATTTGAGACTCAAAATAATAAATGTAATTTTGTTTCAGATTTCTCCGATTACACGATTTTGTAAGGTATGTACAATTCCTTCAAAATTGCTTTTTAACGTTGATGTTACATAGTTTTATAAAAGATCTAGATGCCTCACCTGATGAGAATACTCCGAGCGATCCAAACTGATGATTTCCAATTTATAATGATTTCACGACATGGAAATGGGAGAAAAATTTACTCCTTCTTTGAAAACATTTTTTTCACATCTCAAAAATTTCACAAAATTTAAAACCAAGCACTGTGTAGAGTAAATTGTTAATGTTAAACAGTGTACTATATCTTCGTCGTGGGAAAAATTCAAACGAATATAAAAAACTAAAAACATTTTTACAAAACAATACAGCAGGTTTCACGCCTAAAAACGCTGAAGTATTCACGTGGAATAATGTTGAGAAATTTTTTAATTAAGCAAATAATCACGAACATCTCATCTGATATCAAAGATGAATTGAATATATATGTTTTACTAAATTTCCTGTTTTCTGTAGAAAATTATTTTCCTTGAAATCTATGTGATAATCTTTTCATTGTAGGTTATTTCAATTTTCGGAATATCTAGAGCCCTCAGGACAGTCGAATTCTGTAATTAAAAAAATAGACATTGATGATATTGGAAAACAGTTTTCAGTTACGATACGAGATACAAAAAAAAAATTATCCCAGAGAGTTTATCATCAGTAAAAAATTTTACGACAAAATAAAACAAAATGTAGCATTGAAGTCTCCAGAAATGGAATCCTGAAGATTTTTTCTTTGATATCAGGAAAAGAAGTGTATCAGAAATGTCGTCAAAAATCATAAAACTGTAGAAACAGTGACGTGAATTGCTACGTATCTAAAATTAGAGAATTCACATCTTTCTACTTGGCATTGTTTCAGACATACTGTAGCAACTTTCCTGACCAATTCAGGTGCTTCCATAGTTCTGTGAAAACAGCTTGGAGATTGAAAAAGCAATAGTGTTGCTGAAGGTTATGTAGCATTGAAAAAAATTTTAATGCTATCATGAACCAAAAAGATATTATTCTTCTTGACAAACACAACACAATGATCTCCACATCTCTGAATTTAAACGTAGATTCAAATAGTAATAATAACTTAGATGATTGGTCAGAAAATGACGGGATAGATTTTGAATAAATTAAAAATATAGATGATGACTACTAGATACCCGCGAATTCGTCCGCGTAATGTGTATAATCACGTTGAAAGTACTCAAATTTATCAAATAAATCCCTCTGTTTATAACTAATTCAATTGTTATAGACAAGAAGAATGTGTTGGTAACATTTTTTCAGTGAAAAAGATTACGCATTAGAAGAACTTAGATGTATCGGATAAATCTCTTTTTTTTATTGTTTAGAACAAATTCAGTTGTTATAAACAATTCATATGAGCAAAAAAAAGCCTTTAACCTTTCTGACAACGCACTCTACATGTGTGCGAAATTTAGGCGCAATCGGATAAGTCGTTTCGAAGATTAGCGTAAACAGACAGACAGACACCAGAAATTGATATGGGTACAGCGTCAGCCTGACGCGCCATGGATACCGGGTTCGATTTCCGGCCGGGACAAAATCATTTATATGGTTTTTTTCGGGCCACTGTGAGCGGGAGAGTCTCTTCAGACAGCCGATTGTATTGACACAGGTTTTCTGCAGTTTCCCTGTGTCCTCGTGCAAATGCGATACAATGGTTAGGACGTAAGTCGGCGCCAGACGCAACCCGATAGACTATGTGTGTAATAGTTTATCGGGTAGGTAGAAAGTGATGAGCCTGCAGAGGGGTGAGGGGGGATTTAGACGGAGTGCGGGTAGGATCCCGATCGTAGGGATAATGAGGGAGTATTGTAAAACACCTGGTAAAGCCAGGTATACAATTAAAATGAATGAAATATATATATATATTTATAATAATTTAAAAAATTATTATATTTATAGATTTCATATTCCGAAAATTGAAATAACCTACAATGAAAAGATTATCACATAGATTTCAAGGAAAATATATATACTTATTAATCTTAATTATTTTCGATATTTTAAACTTATTTAGAGTATCAAAATCATTATCATTACTAAGTCATTACATAAGGAACACATTTTGTTACATTAATTCTTAGAACTTTTATTATATTAAGAACCAAAATCTAAACAACAATCAGGTAAAAAATTATTTTGAGTGTTTCATTTGTACTTTTTTTATTCAAAAGAATTTGAATCAGTTTTACATTTTTAAATCATTACGTTTCTATCCCGTTAAGAACAATCTGAACCTCAAGATAATTTAAAACATTTATCATCTTGTTCTCCTTTTAAAAAAAAGAAAAATTAAAATACTTTTTGAACATTTAAAAATCAGGAATATATTTCTTTAAGAAAAAACTTAAACTCAAGAATCATAAAAAGTTGGATAGTCACGATTTTAGTTAACATTTTTATATATTCACAGAGGACTTTCTCTATTTTGTAAAAAAATAAATAAAAATGAGATTTAATAACGGAAAAAAAATGAAGAAAAAATAAATTTTGATGTAACGTGAAAAAAATAAAAATGTTAATTAAAGTCGTGACGACCTATCTTTGTGAAAAATACCTACATTTATTCGTTATTTCGAGGCCGTTCAAAATTGGCACTTGCTGAATCATTTTTCGAACTCCTTTTTGGTGTTATTACTGCTCTGAAGTCACATTTGGTTCATTAAATATAGTGATGTCATCACAACTTGAACTTGAAAATATATGTGATTCACTCATAATGACAAATGTAATATGTAATATAATACAAAAAAAAAACAAATACTTGAGTAGATCAGCTGATAAAATAGTTGTAAAAAATACCCTTGATGAGTATGCAGCTTCCAACATGAATAATGTCATCCCTGTCGAAATTAGAAATATTGACTCTCAGTGTAAATTCCTCATCAAAAATAGATCCTGAACCGTGCGAGGCAACGCTAGTGTTAATCAAGTAAAAAGCTACTTTCATGTAGGCTTGGATTTCTAAAAAAAAATGACCTTATATTTATTTTAAACAAAGACCCAATCATTTTTTAAATAAAATTAGCAATAAGTAAGATGTAAACATTTCTATAGAAATAATAGTATCATAATAAGAAGAATGGAGATAAATGAATAAAATTTTCAGATTACATTTTACTCACCAACATGTTCATCAGCTGCAAAAATATCTTTAATTATTGTTCTCTCATAAGATGTTGTAGAATCACCGTCATGTAGAGGACCAATCACAACGGAAAAAAATTGGTCTAGTCATATAAGATTTTAAATCGTGAAATCTTGAAGTGGATGAAATTTTAATAGAATATTTGCAGGGGATGTAGAATTAGTTTCCCCTGGAAAAAGTGAGAACTATAATAAATATAAACAAATGTTTTGAATAAATGTTGTAGCGGATACATTTCTACATAATAAAGTCCGCATCTTCGCACCTTTACCTGTAATAAGTGAAAAGTTATTGACCTCTCAAGGTTGGTAAAATTAAAACCGGTGAAAATATTGAACACCCTTGGCGTATGATACTGCTGTGAGAGAGACAAAGCGATACGTTAGCGCTTGTCACTCTCATTGCATGTTTTCGGGCCTAAGTGCACGCATGTTAAACTACGCTCTTCGAGGAAACAAGAAGAGAAGATCCATAAAGTCAATAAGTTATAAAAAGAGAGCCTTATTGACTGATTTTGGGCTTCTCAGGAAATATCTGACGCACAAGATCAGTGTTTTCCTTTTAAATACATTCTCAAGTTTTAAATGTATTGAGTTTTATTTCAATTGACTTGAAATTAAAATATTCCAAGCCAAATAATAATAAATACATAAATTCATTCATAAATATAATGAAATTATTAAAATATTATGTATTAACTGTTATTATAATTACAAACGGCTATTTAAATGGTGAATAAAAAAATTATTTGAGCGTAAAATTTGTTCAATTTAAAAATTAAGTAAATATAATTTTTAATAATAAATTAAACTTTATTTGAAATAAATTTTTTTAACTTCCCAGTGGGAAGATATAGTAATGGGTCCGATTTTGCGAATCCCGACTTTTGACATATCTCCACGTTTTAAGGTCCCCAGAGTCGAATTAGATCGTTCTCCAGTGGACGTCTGTGTGTGTGTATGTACGTATGTGCATTTGTGCGTTCGGAATTTTTTTTCGTAAACATCAAAGAGGCCTTGTGTGAACAAACAATGCTCTATCACCCTGACTCTAACAAACCCTTCATCTTGGCTACAGACGCGTCCTTAATAGGTATTGGAGCTGTTTTGAGTCAAAAAGAGGGAGTGAAGAGCCCTGAAAGCACAAAAACTTGTGAATTACGCCATGTAGCTTTCGCCTCTAGAGTTCTCCAGGACACGGAAACTCGCTATTCTGAAACAGAGCGGGAATGTCTTGTCTTTATGTATAGAGTCAATCACTCCCGGCCTTTCCTCCAGCCCAAACCTTTTGTGGTGCACACTGACAGTGGTTGCATCGCTTGGCACAGAGACGCGGTTACTTTGACCTCTAGGATGGTCAAGTGGAAGGCGCAGCTCAACAGATTCAGGTTTACGGCGATCTGTACGAAAAAAGTCGGAGATCAGTATACAGACGCGCTCTCATACAACCCCCCTAACCATCCCGAACCCGTTCAAGAGACGATAGCTGCACGGGAAGTAGTCAATCTCGAGAACAACTCCTAACCCTCTTCTCTCATTGTCAGTGGTAGGAAGTTGTTAACAGCTTTTCCTGCTTTTCCGGCCGACGAACCAAAACGAAAAGGACGACCTCCCGGAAGCAGAAATAAACCTAAACTACTGGTGGCCGAAACGATGGCTTCCAGATTAAGATGACGAGCACTCGAGTCACGTGCGCAGGGTGTAAGACAAACCGTGAATTACCGAGAAACCAACACCTTACTGGATGCCTCGAACATTTCAACCGAAACCAACGGGTCCCGGCCCTTTGACCCTACCCTCCCAGTACTAGCGGAGTACGAGGCCGACCCTATGGG